TACACATATGGATCTCTTCCAGTCAGTTGGTCAGGTAGCTGTCTTCCAAATCTCTTGACATAGCCAAGTGAGTGCCTCCAGTGCAGCATCTGTTTGTTGAAACATCTCAATAGGTATTCCATCAATTCCTAGAGCCTGGTCTTTCACCAGCTCCTTCAGTGCAGCTTCAACCCTTTCCTTCAATACCATTTGTTCTTGATCATATGCCACCTCCTGAAATGGATGAACATCAACCAATTCTTTTTGGTGCAGTGACTGTGTATTCCTGAGCAAATAATCTGAGAAGCTGGACAATATGAAGAAGAGTGTGGCATCAGGATTGGAGGAGAATCATAAACAACCTGCGATATGCAGAAGACACAACCTTGCTTGCTATAAAAGTGAAGAAGACCTGAAGCACTTACTGATGAAGATTAAAGACTATATAGTCTGAAGTATGGATTAAACCTCAACATAAAGAAAACAAAAATCCTCACAACTGGACCAATAAGCAGCATAACGATAAATGGAGAAAAGATTGAAGTTGTCAAAGATTTCATATTACTTGTTTCCACAATCAACACTCATGGAAGCAGCAGTCAAGAAATTAGACGACATATTGCACTAGACAAATCTGCTGCAAAAGACCTCTTTCAAGTGCTGAAAAGCAAAGATATCTATTTGAAAACTAAAGTGCACCTAACCCAAGCCATGGTATTTTCAATCACCTCATATGCATGTGAAAACTGGACAATGAATAAGGAAGACTGAAGAAGAGTTGATGCTTTTGAGTTGTGGTGTTGGTGAAGTATACTGAAAGTACCATGGACTGCCAGAAGAATGAACAAATCTGTCCTGGATGAAGTGCAGCTGGAATACTCCTTGGAAGCGGGAATGGCCAGACATCATCTCACCAACTTTGATCATGTTGTCAGACATGCCCTGGAGAAGGATGTCATGCTTGGTAAAGTGGAGGGTCAGTGAAAAAGGAGAAGGCCCTCAACAACATGGATTGACACAGTGGCTGCAGCAATGGGCTCAGGTATAGCAGGGATTATGAGGCTGGTGCAGAACCAGGCAGTGTTTGGTTCTGTTGTACACAGGGTTGCTATGAGTTCAAGCCAACTTGATGGCACCTAACAATGTAACAACAACAACTTGGTAGAGTTGATGTGTTTGTGTGTTCGTAAATCACATTGAGAGAGAAAGAGAGACAGAGATAAATGGAGGTCTCATTCCTCCAGGCCATGCTTATCTCTGTCTCCTCCAAGGACTTTATCAGGACCCACACATTCCCCTCTTGCCAGTCCTGTCTTCAGTTGCTCTTAGATTATAGTGTCTGCCATGCTCCCCTTTCAAGATCACCCAGGTTCTGGAAGCTAGACTGCTGTCTTGCCTGGACCTGGGGTGGAGGATGGCTAAGGGAGGGAGTCAGCAGCTCCTCTAATTTGCTTCCCCAGGTTGTCATCAACCCCAACTATGAGGTTGCAGAATCTGACTACATCAACAACATCATGAAGTGCAGGGCCCGCTATGATGGCCACCGCATCTGGATGTACAACTGCCACATAGGTAAGGCTTCCTTACCAGAGCTGCCTCCGCCCCTCCTCAGGCCCACCTTGCCCCACCCCACAGACTACCCTCCAGGAAGCAAGCAAGAGCTACCCTACTTTCTCAAGGAACGAGAGAGGCAGAGTCCTAATTTGTGCAAAGAGCTCGAGGAATGGAGCCAGCATCTCATTCCCACACTGGAAAGAAGCCCTGGGCACATAAGGCCAGGTCGGGAATTGAGTTTTCACAGCCAGCTCTGTCCAAGGGGAGATGGCAATACAGAACTGGGATGGCCCAGAGCAGACCCCAAAGTCCTTTAAATGCTGGAACTGAGGCCACTAACTCATTATACTTGTGATCTCAAAACTGTGGGCCTCAGCAATTTATGGGCTCCATCTATATTAGGTTTTCCTCTGTCAAACCAAGGGGCTAGTGAACAACTCTTACTTCCATTCTCCAATAAAAAAACTTTTTTCTTGGATTGTATGACTCAGGGAACAAAGGGAAAAGAACTTCCTCTTCTGCAGGAAAAGTGATAGACCTCATTCTTGGTGAAAGTAAAAATTAAATGCACTATACTTAATGCATTCATCCATTCACTCAATTACAGAACACCTGGTATGCACCTGGTCCTAGAGAGGCTGAGCACCTATTCCCTGCCCTGGAACTCACCCTGTTGGAGGGGGGCTCAAGAGCTCTCTGGGGCCAACAGCTCCTCTGGCTTGGGCAAGGGCTGGGTATCTACTTGGGCAAACTCTTCTCACTTCCCACCCCTCAGGTGGTTCCTACAGTGAAGAAACAGAAAAGAAGTTTGAACAATTCAATGGACTCCTAACCAACCAGCTCTCCAAGCGGTAGAGGAGTTCTGTGGTCACCTCCTATCTTTGGGCCACACCGCATCTTCCCCAGGATGTTCCCCAACAACTGCAATCTGACCAACTGACCGCTGTACTCCCCTTCACTCGCCGAGCCCCCACCCCATCGTGATCCCCTCAGTCATGTCCAAACTCAGGAGGAAGGGGATGTTCCTGCCTTTGGCTGGGTGCTGCTGCCTGATGTTCAGAGCCTGCGAAGGCTCTAGGGGCTGGGGCTGGGCTTGTCCACAGGGCTTGTGGGCAGCACTACAGGCACCAAGAACCAGTATGGCCGAGGACCCTTTAGCCACTGACTCTGATTGTCTTCAGCATGTCCCATCCAAGCCACACTCCATCCTGAGTCTGACACAACCACCTCACCACAGATAGTAACATCTATAGGGCCATTTTCTTAAGTTATATGTTGGCAAATGTGAGCTTATCAACCCCAGTGGTGGTCAGGTTGACACCCCCCCCCATCTCCTCCTTGTAGGTCTTCTCCTTATATGTCTTTTCCAGCAAACTTGACTATCTGAACCTTTTTTCTAATTAAACAAACTGCCTCTACTCTAGTTTATCATATCCACACATATAATGTGGCCACATGATTCCTGATTGAGTTCAGCCTCAGTGCTTCTCTCCTTGCCCTCTTCTTTTTAAAGATACCGTTATATTTTCACAGATTTGAAACACAAAGTTATTTAGTGGCATTCAATATGGGGCATGCAGGCCTTTGGAAGTATGGCTCAAAAGAAAACCCAAAGGACTTGTGTAAGTGACTCGTCATTCTGTTGTTCCAATTCTGTGGGTAACGGATTCAGCGGTGCTATAACCAGGGTCAAGGTGATGAGGACACTCACCAAATGCCATGTGTCATCACAGACACTTACACATACTTGAAACTTCAAATAAAAGATTTATGATATGCATCTTGTGTTTCATTTGAACCACTATACCTAGCCCCTGAGCAGCAGAGGTACCTGTGTTCAATCAATAACTGCCCAGTGTCAGTTACCCTTTGTTAGCTTGTTTTTACCCTGCAGAACTGGGCTTCTAAGTCCCCTACAATCTAGTGTGGCCACCAAAGAAGAAATGAACACATTGCCATTGGGTCTATTCCAATTCATGGTGATCCCACAGGTTATCGGGTAGAACTGCCTCATAGGGTTTTCTTGGCTGTAGTCTTTACATAAGCAGACCTCCAGGCATTTCTTCATTGTATCGCTGTGTGGGTTTGGCCTGTCAACCTTTAGGTTGTTGTGTGCCATCAAGTAGATTCTAACTCATAGCAACCCTATAGGACAGAGAAGAGCTGCCCTCAGGGTTTTCTAGGCACCAAGAAAATCTGCTTTATAGAAGCAGATCACCAGGTCTTCTCTCCTGAGCATAAACTGTTAGTACCACAGGAGGCCTCATTCAATACAAACTACACAAGGAGCAGCTCCTATCCTTTGAGTGAGCAGTCTAAGAAAATCACAAATACAACAGTATTAACCTTTCTTGAACTATTGCTTTTTACAGAAACTTGTAGGAGGGTGAGAAGAGGTTAATCCTGTCCACCTCCCTGCTTCTGAAGGCCCTTGGAGAGAGAAATTAAATCAGGATGGGGCACCTCCAACTCTGACCTACAACAGGCTGTTTATCAATCCCAAGAAGCCTAGGGCAAAGGCCACGTTACCAACCACAAGAGCATGGATGCCCTCAGCAGGCCTCTTCCTAACAGTAGCTGTGTTAGGACCAGATGGGGCAGCTGCATGGAAGCAATCCCAGGGCTTTCCTAAAAGGTCACCAAGAAGAGCCCCAAGGGAAGGGGGTGGTGGCACAAAAGGTGCAAGTCCGTCACGGGGGGGGGGGGGGGGGGCAGCCCAGGCAGCCACTCCTCCAGACCTGGGGCTCCCACTTGTCTGAGCATGCTAGGGCTCCACAAACCAGAAGGGCCTAAAATGACCTCAAAGTAGTGCCTGTCACAGCCACCTCAGCACCAACTCTACCCACCAGAAGAATGCACTGTGACCCTGTCCCCACAAAGAGGTGAGCAATCAAACTCGGCACGCATTTCAGACTTCCCCTTGGCCTTGTTCACGTTAATTTCTGCAAGGACCCCTTCTGTAACTGGTACTGACAGGTTAACACTAGGACCACCCCACAGGGGTAGGGTCATGAACCCACAGCTGCTGTGCAGGAAGGCAGGTTGGGTATCTAAGTTGTTGGGGGAGATTGAGGAGGTGTCACAGAAGAAGTACAACCTACACCCAAAACTGGGCAGGTTTTGTGCAAAAATGCCCTCTTGGCATAATTGGGATCCTCCAGGCCAAGCAAACTCCTAGAATGAGCTATTTCTTCAACAGCCCCAGGCTAAAATAGGTCAGACAGCACCCCCTAGTGTCCCTCAGCAGACCAACACACTTTGAAGCAATCACATTATTATAACAACTTTGAACTTTTTATTTTTATTCTACTTGTAGAATTAGCACAAACTAAACCCCACCACACCCCACAGTGAGGTTCTAACAACTATTCCAGCCTGTGTGGGGCTGTGGTGTCTGTAAAGGCTTCTGGTGTTGGGCACCAAGTTAGTGCCTGGGGTGTGGGTCCAGGCTTGCAAGCCTCCATGCCTCAGGGCAGAGGATTCTGAACCCCAGGCCGCTCTTTCTTTTTGTGTTGGAGCCCCAGGGCCCGAGCCACCAGCCTCCGGGCCACCGCTGTATTTGTCTGTGGTCTCTCCTTCGCCAGCTGCAGCAGCTCTAAAAGGAAAGCCCCATGGGGCAGGGATGTGAATTCAAGGCCCTGGCTGCCACAGCAGCCTTAGAGGCCATCAGCCAACCTCTAACATTATGTGGATGGTGCCTGAGGCCCAGGTGTGTCCACAGTGGGAGTAGATGCTAGTGAGAGGAGCCCACTCCAAGCTTCCCTGCTCCCAGCTCCCTGTGGAATCTGACCCAATCCTCCCATGTTCTCTGTGCCCTTATTTCTCCATCTGTAAAATGGGACTGAGGAGAGGTTAACCTTGTCCACTTCTGGGAAGGAAATCAAATCAGAACGGGACACCTGGAGCTCCCTGAGCCAGAGACAGGGTGTTTATTGTTGCCAACAAGCCCAGGACAAATTCCATGTTATCACTCACAGGAGCCACAGAAAACTGGTCTCTGAAAACATTTTTCACGTCCTTTGGAAGGAGAAGAGGGAAGAGGAAGGAACTAACATGCATCTGGCACCTTCCGTGTGCCCAGTCCAGGCAGATCTCCCATGGGCTATTTTATTCTTTGTTACTTCACTCTTTTAAGATCTGCTTATTTTACAGATAAAGAAACCAACTCGGGCATTAAGTGACTTGCTCAAAGTCAATTTAAATAAGTAACAGAGCCAGGATCCTACTCAGGGCAGACCCCAAAGCCCAAGCTCCTTTCACTCTAGGGACCCTGGCCCTAGAGAAGAAAGGCCAAGCTTTTCTCTGAGCAGTACCCAGAAAGGGGGTGAGTGGGAAAGCAATACCAGAAACAGCAGCTAGAGGACACTACTCCCTTGAGTGCCCTCATTCCTGGCACCCCAAGGCCCTCTGGGGAGTGGGAGGGGCATAGCCTCACTGGCTGCAGCCCAAAGGTCTCCAAGGACAGAGACATGTGGAAGAGGGGAATGAATCAGAAGGGAAAGACCTACCCTGCCCAAGCCCGCTCACACACTCACACCCTCCTCAGCCAGAAACCACTGACTTCCTTACTTGGCTTCTGCAAGGCTTTGAGCTTTGACTGCTTGGTTCCCTGTGTGAGGGGCCGGATCTTGAGCACTGAGAAATCCCTGGACAGGGCTTCAGCAGCTGTGGAGAGACAGCAGATCTGCAGACATCCCCTTCTGCATGAGGCTCCCATAGGACCCAGAAGCACAGGTGTTACCCACAACATGCAGCCTATGCATGCTCAGGGACAGGGCTACTGTGACACCCCTTGGGTTGGGTCAGAGACACACCTCTCCTCTTATCCCCAGAGCCACCAAGGGGTTGCCTGTATTCTCAGATGGGAAAGCTGACCTCCACATCCCCACACTCACACCTGTGCTGGTCAAGAGCTACAGCAGTGAGCCTACCCTTCTGACCCCAGGAGAGGCTGGCTCCTGTCTTCTGAAGCCCTGGACTCTAAAGTCTACTTCTGTTCACCACTCAACATGCCCCTGGGGAGCAGGCCCTCACTGCCCTGAGTTATGCCACACAGTGAGGCCTTCAGGGCCATGCCATACTTGGGCTATTTACAGAACACAGCATGTCAGAGCAGCAAGGGGTCTTGGGTCCTAAACACTCACTGTTTTATGGATGAGGAAACTGAAGCCAGCAGTTTGTGGCAGAGCCAAGGCCCATCCCTCCTTGTACTTTCTTCCCACTGCACTGGGCAGCCTTTGACCTCCTCTCCCTCCCTCCCTCTCAGCAGGGCTCCCTCCAGGGTTTAAGCCCTCACCCCACCCCATTCCCACTGGTCCCTAGATACTGCTTCCCACTTCACTGTAATTTCAGGCCCTCCTGAGGACCAGACCCACACCAGCCATGGCTGTCCCAGCTCTGGTTTTCAGAAAGCTGTGTTTCTAAGAAGCCAAATGTGGAGGGTAGGGATATTACTATTTATAAATATAGTCCAAGTGAGCAGTGGGGTGGCAGGGCCAGAAGATCCTGGTCAGCCCAGGAAAAGTGGCTGAGGAAGGGGAGGAACATCAGCACTAGGTCAAGAGGCCTGGCTGGTGCCCCTGGCTTTGACACCGAGAGGCTCTGTTATAGAGCAGGTCTATGTCTTGAAGCTGCCAAAACTGAATGAGAATGTATTAACTTGAACCACAGTGTCTGTATTTGAATGCTTTTGACCTATAAAAACAGTCCTTTCATAATGGTTTAATATGTGGAAGTAACCAGGGCTCAGCCCATGACAAGTGCTCAGTAAATATCACCTAGGTCTGACCCTTTAAACTGAAGGCACTAACACGAATACAGAAGGCTAAGGATCTGGTGCTACACCTCTCTGCTCCCACCAGGACTTGATAATTAGGCTGGTGGGGAACTGAGCCCCATAAGCCGGCGTGGTCATGTTAACCTGCACCCTGGAGAAGGGCAATCCTTGTCCAGGGAAATGAATCTGCCCTGGCCACGAAGGGCCCTTCCCCTCTCACTGGTGGTCAGAGGAAAGGCACATTACCTGAGGCCAGGCAGGGGAAAATACCGAGAGCATGAGTGTCATCCACCCACTGGATCTTGAAACCCTTCTCCCTGTGCAGGGAGAAAAGACAGAGTAGTTATGAAAGCAAATGAACAAACCCTTTCTTTTTACAATCCTAAAGGGAGGTTCCCTCCCATCTCCAATCTTCAAACACTACAAGTCCCAGAAAAGTTACAGCCTCTTTGGGAGGAGACAACGATTTGTTGCAAACTTTGAAGACCATACAGTTTGCTTCAGAAAGACAAATGCCACTCCTGTTAGTATGTCACATGGGTCCCTCATTCATAGAACTAAAGAAGCCAGGACTCAAGGAGCTCGGATGGCACAATGCCAAGGAGGAAGGGGCTCCTCACAGGCACTCCCACTGCCAGGCCAAAGGCGTGGGTTTGGAACTGCAGACAAAGGGTTTATGTGGTGGTGGGTAAAGTGGACAGCACCAATATATTAGTGTTGCTGCTCCTGGTAAACTTTAACCCCTACTGCTCAAGAAGGCATCACTGACTCTGGGCCCCATGACAGGCCAAAAACAACTCTGTGCCTCCCAATTAACCCCTTTGGGGGCACTGCCCTCCCTGGCCAAGGGAGTCAGTGGGGTCCCTGGTCCAGCCACACCTTCAGGGGAAGAACTCCTCATGCCTCACTCAGCTGTCCCTTCAGTTTCCCCTAGCTGAGACTCAGGGAGGGTCAGGGAAAGCTGTTTGGGAAGCAAAGACTCAGAAAAGAGGGGCATGAAGAAAGAGTTTAAAAATATCTAAGCAGGAGAGAAGGGGAATTGGAGAAAGGAAAGAGACTGAAAAAAAAAAAAAAAAAAGAAACAAGGAGAAAAGCCGGAGGTTAGAGCTAAAGGAATTTAGGGAAACCTTGTCCCTTATTACATCCCTGCTGGCTCCCATTGCCACATTGTCTCAACCCCACTCAGCTACTCAAGCCGAGTTCATCCCAGAAATAAGTTCCATGCCCTCAGTCTGTTGCATGACTGACTGGTTGGAATCCACAGCAAGGGGAGGTCGGTGGGCTATCCACTGCCCCAGTGAAACTGATGAGGGCTTACCCTGGGTCCCAGCAGGCATGTGGGCAAGGAGGACAGGACAGAGGCTGCTGCTGTGACAGAAGGACCAGGTCTAGGGTCTAGGGTCCTGGGAATACCTACAACCAAAAAACCACCTATCCTCTTCCCCATGGTCATGGTCAGCAGGCTGAACTTTCCAGAAGTATGGAGCCCAGAGCAAGCACACACTTGCTGTCTTTCTTTCTGGATCACTAGGCATGGTGTAAGGGTGAGTAAGGGGGGCGGCAAGGGAGGGAGGCAGGCAAGTGTCCCCAGCCACAAAGATTTTCTAGCTCTTCTCCAGAGGCAAGCACCCTGCCTCTGCTGCCCCACTGAGGTGCTGCTGGCACTCACTGGAACTCAGAAAACACTGCCAGCAAGTCCTCAGTCTTGAGCGCTGGTTCAAAGCTGTAGATCTCCACTACATGGCCAAAGTCCTTCTCTCCAGGCAGCTCCTCTACAAAGGAGGACATGTCCACGTAGATCTTCTCTACTTCAATCTCCTTCTCTGTCAGGTTATGTGTTATCTGGAAGAGATGAGACCCTTTAGCAAGGGGAGCTCTGACACACTGGGCTCCAAACAACTGGTGTCAAAACCACACACGGAGAGTTTTGCAGTCTCTGAGTTGGCAGGGAGCAGAGCCAAGGGTGGCTTTCCACCAGTGCCCTACCTGGTGGGGATCTGGGAAAGACAGCATCTTGGCAGACTGGGCTAAGGTTCCAGAAGTGTGAGGGAACTCACTTGTATGAAGTCCTCACTGGGTGACTGGCACTTACATACATTAGGTTGCACAGAGTCCTCCCAACTCTATTCTACATATATATATATATCTCCATTTTACAGATGGGAAAACTAATGGTCTAAGAGGTAAAAGATTTGCCCAAAGTTACACAGTCAGTAAGAGCCAGAGCTGGAAAAGTGAAGATCTTTCCTCCCCTTATTAACAATATGATATTAAACAAGTCTTGCTGGTCTCCATTCCTCATCTATAAAACAGCAATAAGAGATGCCTGCCCTTCCAACCTAACAGCAAAGCCAGTCTCAGGGGCAGACACACAGTACCAGGGAGATGAGATTTTAAGACAAAGCTCCAGGCAGAAAGGTAATTTTCATGACCAACATTTGTACTGGCAGTCTCCGACTTAATAACATATTGCAGTTATGATGAAATGTACAAAATGCACTTAGGACCATCTAGACTTTTTTTAAATCTTCTCATTAGTAATACATACTAATTACATACAATGTTGCAGTGCTTAATTTGCTGATCTTATCATTCTCATGGCAACCACCCGAAGACAAATAAAGATCAGGTATATAAACACACTGATTATAAATGATAAAAATGAAAACTAGAGAAAAAAAAAAAAAACACCTATTCAACTTCTGTCAGAACCAGTTTACAGAACCTGCTGTAAACTGAGGACTATCTGTACTACCTTACCTTATGAAGCACTTCCGTGCACATTCTCATACATTCTTTCTACATTACCTTGTGAAGTATGTGTGTCTATATTATTATTATTATTATTATTAGCTGTTTTTGTTGTTTTCTTCAATAAGGAAGCTGAGACTTAGAAAAGCAAAATGACTTGTCTACAGTCAAATAGCTCCTAAATAGTTGCCTTGGGACCCAAATCCACAAATCTCGACCTTCTGCCTCCATATCATAAATCTCTTTCTTCTCTACTGTTCAAGTCCCAAGACCTCCTGGCAAAGTCCCCATGCTCCTCATACGTTTTTTAAGGGACCCCTATCACCCAGCACCTGGCCCTGCCCATCCTGGCACATCCCCCTGCTCCACACCATGAGCCTTGTCCCCAGTCTCCCACAGCTACACCCACCTCACTTCCACCCTCCCTCTTCCAGGCTTAAGCGCCCCATCACCTCCTGTAGCAGCTCACTGTAGTCATCCTCTGAGCAGCTGCCATGGCCCTCCTCTCCCACCTCTTCTTCCTCCTCTTCTGCTGCCATGCTCTTCTCTGGCTGACTCTCATTGCCCTCTACCAGGTTTAGATGCAGGCTGCACCCAAGCTGTGTGGCCATATCCAAACTATCTCCTTCTCCTGAGTGACTGTCAGGCCCTGGGGCCTCGGTGCCAACTGGATCCAACAGTGGCTCATTCTCACAACTTTGGCTCAGGTCTTGTAAGTCCTCTGTTGCCCCAGCCATCAACACAGGAAGTCCCTGATCAGAGCTGGGGTCCCCAGCACCAACATCTCCAGGCTCTTCTGGGATGTCAACAGTTGGAGCCTTGCCCTTGAGCCCTGGGGCGGGGGCCGGTGCCCCTTCTTGCCGCCTACGAAGCATCCGGGGCACATACAAAGCCTGGTCTGGCTTGCGTCCACGATGCCACCGGCCAGGCCGTGCCCCTCGGGGACCAGCAGGTGGTTCTTGGTTTAAGTTGGGCCAAGGACCATGGTTCTTGCCAGGATGAGAGGCAGGAGGGCAGGAGGGGCCAGAGAGGCCATCTGAATTGGGTAGCCTGCAAGAGGAGAAAATTAGAGTGTTTAGGTCCAAAGGAAAATGGTTTACAGGAGCCACCTCCCATTCAGACGTGAGGGTCCTCAAGTCAGCATTAGCCCAAAACCAAAGCCAAAATAACCTCTAAAAATTCCTTAGAAAGATATCATGTTAGATCCTGAATGCTATCTCTCACTAAGTCCAAAACAGCCAGTTCTCCCTCCTCACCTCCCTCAGTCATAAACTGAATTCGAGACAGCCTGGCTAAGCATTCCAGTTACCTCAGGGGCATCAAGGGGGAAGAGGGTCTAGGTGGCTCCAGGTGAACCCTGTCCTTCCCAGCAGCAGAGCAGGCACAGGCAGCCTAAGCCTTTCCATCTCCTTCACACCAACTTACTTTGACAGCTCCTTCTGCAGCAGTACCTTGCATTTGTTGTTGTTGTTGTTGTTGTTGTTATGTGCCGTCGAGTCGGACCCAACTCACAGAGATCCCTCCTTGGGTTTCCGAGGCGGTATCACTATGGAAGTAGATTGCCCTATCTTCCTTCCGAGGAGTGGCTGGTGGGTTTAGCCCACTTAGCCACTATACTACCAGACCTTCTGGTTAGCAGTCAAGTGCCTTAGGCCCTATGCTACCAGAGCTCCCACCTTGCATTTAGGTACTATTATATTATAATAGTACCTAAATGCAAGGTACTGCTGCAGAAGGAGCTGCCTCTGGTAGCATAGTGCCTAAGGCATTGACTGCTAATCAGGAGCCTGGTGGTTCAAACCCACCAGCCACTCCTTGGAAGGAAGGTTGGGCAATCTACTTCCGTAGTGATACCACCTCGGAAACCCAAGGAGGGATCGCTATGAGTCGGGGCTGACTCGACGGCACATAACAACAACAACAACATTTATATTATGTTATTAGAAAACATTAACTTTGAACACTAGGATAATAGTAACTATGGTAAGATGCTCAACCTGTAAGATGGAAACCAAGAGGACTGAGGACCAGCAGATCTGCTGCTCCCATTCCATGGTCTCTGGGCACAAGATCCCTGAGAGGAATGTTGGCCAGGCTCACCCTTGCTATTTAAATTCTCTCTCTCTTTCCTGCCCAAGGTGTACAGTTGAATGTCAGTCAGTAAATGGTGCAAGCAATGCACATCTACTCCACCACTGAAGCAAAAGGCAGCACTAACTTTAAGCAACTGAGGCTGGGAATAGAGGCAGCAACCTAGGGGTCCCAGCCCTGGTTCCTGACAAACTTTTTTCTCCCGGGAGCTGACTAGCTGACCCCAACCACCCACAATGAATGGCTGAGGGCCCTCCAAGATGGCAGGATACATAGGATACACACCTGATATCCAGGTGACAGATGACCGTCCTCCTCCTCCAGCCCTCCCCAACAGAGAAGCTGCTCAAGAGATCAAAATTCTCTGCTGTTCTATGGATCAGGTACCGGAGGCGACTGGAGAGCGGTGGGAAAAGAAGTACCCTGGGAAGGGACCAGAAGGAATAGTGAGCAGAGGGGACAGGTTTAGCCACTAGGACCTAACCCCTACCAGGTCTACCCTAAGTTTAAAGGTGACTTAACACTAGGCTCCTTTTACCTCCTTGGGTCCCAGACTAACTCCAAAGGCTCTGATCACAGACATAATCACAGCAAGGATTCACTGGGAATTACTGGTGGTCCCATTCCCATTCCTAGGTGGGGCCCCATCAATCTCCAGTTGATTTAATGCCATCACCTATCACTTATCCCCACAACAGTGTAAGCATTTTTTATTCGTGAAAAACTAGAGACCCAGAAAGATAAAATAACTTGTCCAAAGACAATTCTAGATTCTTGCTTTAAGTGGAGATGGTCTGATTCCAAAGCCTGCTTTGTTTTTTTTCTTCCATGACAGAATACTCAGAATTACCAAGGAAGGATGCAGTTAGGAGAGATCAGACTACAACTACAGGCCAAGGTCTGAGCCAACTCCTAGCCAGTTACCTCTGGGGCATCACTGGGAAAGAGGATCCAGGTGGCTCCTAACAAACCCTGTCCTTCCCAGCAGCAGAGCAAGCACAAGCAGCCTTAGCCTTTCCATCTCCCTCACACCAACTTACTTTGACAGCTTCTTCTGCAGCAGGAAGCGGTCCAGCTCCTCCTGGATACGGTGGACAAAGTCATTTTCGGCTGCAGAGAGGAAAACACCATCCAAGCAAAGAAGGGCCAGGGTGACAGGTGGGAGAGCCTGTGGGAAGATAACAAGGCCCAGGATCAGCGAACAGATCCCACACCTACCCACAACCCAGGAATGCAGGTTCTGAAAGGGCCTTGGAAACCACCATCTGGTCTAATGTCTATTTTTTCCAAGTGAGAAAACAACTCAGAGGAGGGTAAGTGATATCTCAAAGTCCCCCAGGCAGGTTAACAGAAGGGGAAAAGAGAGATCTGCTAACCCCTACTCTGTCCTCTGCACTCAGTATGATGCTAAGCAAGGGCATGGTAACCTGGGGCTCAGGGGCTCTCACGTTGCCGCCTAGGGCAGGTGGAGAGAAAGGCCGAGCTCCTCGCACTACTCACCGCAGGGGCAGCTGCAAGGACTCAAAGTTCCAGAGGCTCACTGCCCCAACGCGAAAGGCAGGAAGGGCCGGTCCTTCCAGCTGATGAGGCCGTGGGGACGGGGCAGGGTCCCAGGGCCTGCTCTGTGCTTGCTGGGCGCCCTGCAGAGGAAAGGAGACTGCCCCGACGCCTGCGGGCGGCCTACAGCAGAGTAGGGAGCTAAAGGGCCCCAACCCGGGAGCTAAAGGGCCATGGGCGAGTGTAGAGCCGGACCTAGAAGGGGAGACCCTGCCCCCGAGGCTATCCGCGGGTCCCACTCACCACTGCCGCACCACCGCGTCGCCCCCTGCTCTAAGGGTCCCCAGAAACGTGCCCTCCCCCGTGCTCCGGAGTAAAGACCTGGCCCTCTGCAGAGCTGCAGCGCCGCCGCGCGGACTGGGGGAGACATCGCAGGGATAGCTTAGAAATTGGAAAGGAGTGTTCCTGTCATCCCTTATGTTGTTGTTGTTGTTATGTGCCGTCGAGTCAAACCCGACTCATAGCGACCCCTCCTTGGGTTTCCGAGTCAGTATCACTACGGAAGTAGGATTGCCCAACCTTCCTTCTGAGGAGTGGCTGGTGGGTTTGAACCGCCAGCCGTCTGGTTAGCAGGCAAGTGTCTTAGCCACTATGCTACCAGAGCTCCCTTATAGGGCCCTATAAAGGAGTTCTGGTAGTATAGTGGCTAAGACACTTGACTGCTAACCAGAAGGCTGGCCGTTCAAACCCACCAACCACTCCTCGGAAGGAAGATGGGGCAATCTACTTCCGTAGTGATACTGCCTCGGAAACCCAAGGAGGGGTCGCTATGAGTCGGGTCCGACTCGACAGCACATAACAACAACATGAAGTGGCATAATAGGTAAGACATTTGGCTGCTAACCAGAAGGTCTGCGGTTCAAACCCACCAGCTGTTCTGTGGGAGAAAATGAGACAAACTACATCCTTAAAGATTTACAGCCTTGGAAACCCAGTGGGGGTTGCTGTGAGTTGGAATTGACTCAATGGCAGTGGGTTTGGTTTGGGTTTTATTGGGCACAAACACCAGTCACTTATCCCCACAATCACATGATTAAACATTTTATTCATGATAAAATGGCAACCCAGAAAGATGAAATAATTTGCCCAAAGTTACAAAGACAGTAAATTCTAGATTCTTGCTTTGGGAGGTTAGTCTAATTTCAAAGCTTGCTCTGCGTCTTTCTTCCATGACAGCATACTCTCACCTAAGATCAATTAAAAGTTCAGCAAATGCTTTTCATTAGCTAGCTACTACTTGGAAGACCAAAGAAGAATTGATATGTTTGAATTATGATGTTGGCGAAGAATATTAAATATACCATGGACTGCCAGAAGTACAAACAAATCTGTCTTGGATGAAGTACATCCAGAGTGCTCCTTAGAAGCAAGGATGGAGAGACTTCACCTCTCGTACTTTAGTCATGTTGTCAGGGACTAGTCCCTGGAGAAGGATATCATACTTGGTAAAGTAGATGGTCAGTGAAAAAGAGGAAGACCCTCAGTGAGATGAATTGGCACAGTGGCTGTGACAATGGGCTGAGGCACAGCAACAATTGTGAGGATGGTGCAGGACCAGGCAGTGTTTTGTTTGGCTGCACATAGGGTCACTATGAGTAGGAACTCACTCAACAGCACCTGTGGTAGTTAAATTTGTATGTCAACTTGGCTGGGCCTGATTGAGTGGCTGGGCAGCTGGTGGTAGTTATTCCCCATGATGAGACTGGCAATCAGCTCCATGGTGGGATCTACCACAAGCAGCTGCATAGCAGCTTTGGGTATGTGGTCTGCTTCCCGTATATAAGAAACAGATTTGGGAATGGTCTCTAGCTTATGGTATGCTTGAACGCTGCATGTATCAGTGTCGTTGCTCAACAGCCTGCCATGCTCTGCTGACCTTGGGACTTTCAATGGACTTGAATTAATGGCCTGCCGTGTGGTTTAGTAACATCGGGACTGTGTCTTTCTACTGTCAACCTTGGGCCTGTCACCCTCAACAGCCAGTAGCTCTCTGAGTGAAGAAAAGCCTCTAGCTCCAGTGGGCTGGGAGCAGGAGACAGAGCTGAAGCCCAACGCTGAGGGGCTTTCATCCAGCCCCTAGAGCCTGGCACTTTGAACTTGGACTTAATATCTCCAAATCATAAGAATAGACACCTGTTTGTTAAAACATCCGATTTGTGGTTTATTCTTCTCAGAGTGACACTAGGTAATCAGAACAGCACCTAACAACTACATGCAACAGATGTTTGAGAATTTTCTAAGGGGACTATATGTTCAAAAATAAAGATATAATCCATGGTCCAACTGGGAAACTTAATTTGGAAATCATTGCATAGGCTTTCCTGGGGGAAAAAAAAACAACAACTATATTCTAGGTAGTTGGGATATCAGATTCTCCAGTCATTGGTCCCCTCCATAGGGTAATAACAGAGAAATAAAGAGGAAGGAAATCTGTAAGAACCCTTTGCTCACTGCTGCCCTCCCTTCTGCCCATTGATGGATCCTGCAGAGAGGTCAATTAGATATGAAGAGGCCACTGACAAGGTGTATTAGCCTTGCGGGTAACTGGATTGCATATCCACTAGCGCAGCAATTTTCAGGATCTCAAATTATACTACCCTGCTCCAACCAGAAAGCACCTACCTTAAATGGGGCTTGAAATTCTTACCATCAGACAGCATGTGGGATAGGCTATTATAATCTAGGGGAACAGGGTCAAAATGTTCTGTTCCCTGAAAGGTGTTAAAATGTAAGCCCTTGATCATCCTGAATCCAGAAGCTCAGAGCAAAGCAAGACCCTGAAATAATAGCACTTAAAACATGTTTTTGGTACAAAGTGGGACATCCTGAGTGAACTCTAGGGTAGGGTGTGAGTAGGGATGGGGAGGAGCAGCTCTGATAGCATAGTGCCTAAGGCACTTGACTGCTAGCCAGAAGGTTGGCAGTTCAAACCCACCAGCCACTCCTCAGAAGGAAGGTTGGGCAATATACTTCTATAGATATACCATCTTGGAAACCCAAGGAGGAGGTCTCAGAAGACACAACAACAACAACAACATCACTACAGAAGTAGATAATCCAACCTTCCTTCTGAGGAGTGGCTGGTGGGTTTGAACCACCAGACTTCTGGTTAGCAGTCAAATGCCTTAGGCACTACGCCACCAGAGCTCTCTTATAATCATTCCCAGAGTACTTTTAAAAATGAAGAGGGTATTATACTACATTTACAGAAACAATATTCTCAGATTCCCAGAAGGCACCGAAAATAAAGATGAGGAGACCTGGTGGTACAATGGTTAAGCCCAGGTGGTGCAAGGGACTTGCTAACTGAGAAGTCAGGGGCTTATTGGGAGAAAAGACCTAACAATATGATCCATAAAGATTACAGCTTAGGAAACTCTATGGAGCACTATGAGTTGTAAGTGACTAAACAGCACACAACAAAGAATAAAGACAAAAAACACAAGTGCGAAGAGAATCTGGAAAGCCAAGTCTGTCACAAGTCTCTTTTCAGGGCATGGTTGCAAGGATAGATCCTGAAGATATATGAAAGGTCTTCATGACTTCCCCTGGAGAGATATCCAGCCCCTGAGGTTGCAGTCATCATAACCAATCTTCCAAAAACCAAAGGCAAAGAAAAAAATCTTGAAAGCAGCCAGAGAGAAAAAAAACCAATACATTACTTACAGGGGAAAGACAATTCAAGTGACAGCAGATTTCTCACCAGAAACCATGAGGCCAGAAAGAAGTAGCACAACATTTCTCAGTGCTGGTGGGGGGGGGGGGGGTTGGAGGAGCTGTCAACTTAGAATTCTATATCCAGTGAAAATACTCTTCACAAATGAAGTGAAAATTAAAACATTCTCAGATGAAGGGAAACTAAAAGAATCTGTCACCAGTTGTCCTAGTGTAAAAAATAGCTAAAGGAAGTTCTCTGAATAGAAAGGAAACAGTAAGAGAAAGAATCTTGGACTATCAGGATGGAAGAAAGACTACAGTAAGCAAAACTATAGTTAAATACAGGAGATTTTCCTTCTTGAGTCTTCTAAATTATATTTGACTACAGAAGCAAGAATTATAACACTGTCTAACATGGTTCAAAACATATGGAAGAAATATTTAAGACAATTACAGTGTCAATGGGGGAGGATAATGGGGTATAAAGGGAGTTTTACCACTAAAACTTATAAAATGACTATGCCAGTGGATTGTGACAAATTATGAGATAACCAGAATGACCACTGAAAAAGCTATACAAAAAATACACTCAGAAACACTATCCAAAAATATCAAACTCAACAGAGTTCCGGCAAGATGGTGGACTAGGCAGAAGGACTGCAAAGACCCTCTTCAACAAAGAAAAGGGAAACCAATTAACACAGACACAGAAGATAATTTTGGACCCCTGAGCCTTGAAGGGAAGGATACAGAAGTGGA